GTCCATACGTGGAAGCACCCCTGCTCATCTCTGTGCGGCTGTTTCTCTAAGATCCCAGCTTCTGTGCTCATCTCTTGGGGCTCATCATGGTTCAGCACTCAGCGCTGAGACACCACTGCTTTGTTGCAGTCACAGTGTGATGCCAACAGTGAAGAAGGGAATGGAAGCAGAGACCTTTGGCTGTGTTGGTGGTAGGGAACCTCACCTCACTCCTGCTGTGTTTGGGACAGCCGTGGTGCCTCCCTCACTGTGGTGCTCCTGGGCTCTCGGCATGAGGAGAGGTTAAAGTAGAGGGGGATGTTTGCAAGATGCTGTGTGTCGGAAAAAGTAATGCGTGGTTAAACATTAACATGAAGCTCTCATGAGATTCCTGGCTGGCATGTCAACCACTGAGCGATAAAAGCTGATCCTTGGGTTGTAACGTGGGCTGAACTTTAAAGAACAACAGCAAGGTGTGAGTGAAAACACGGGCAAAGGTTTGCAGAAGAGTTCCCCCAAACCCTTTCAAAGATTCTGCTCTCGGTTTCCGTACAAATCCTGTGCTCTGTTGCATTGGCCAAGGGCAGTACCAGCTGGCTGATGCCCAGGCTGCCATCACATTGTCTCCTTCCCAAAGGCTGTAGGTTGCTGTTGGGATTGGGGCTGGGAACCTCACAGCCCCCCAGGTACTGGAGGACAGTGGTTTTCCTGATGTTGTTCAGCTCTAAGCCACCGTCGGGGCCAAGAGCAGCAATAGTTGTGTTGGTATCACTGCGCTTAGTGATAACTGGCTGGGGGCTCCAGGCTTTGCTTGGAGATGTAGTGTCAGTTTGGGGCTGAAAAAGCAAACCAGACAAGCAAAGATCCCTGCACAAAGCGTGCCTCTGACTGAACACGAAGCACAAGGAGCAAGCTCACTCTGTGCCAGAGAGCGGCACAGCAGCGGGGCTGTGGGCACTGCGAGAGGTATTCACTGATTCAACTCCGACTGTTGTCCCCATGTGCACTTTGTGACACTTGTTCTGCCCTTAACGGCTCTGCTGTTTTCAAATCAAACTCCGTGTTTGGCCGTTTTTATCTCGATTGCCAACTCAATTGCCACTTTAACCAGGTTCCAGGAGTTGTTTTTAGCTGCTCGGGGATTCTGCTCACCTGATAGGTGCTGGAGGCATGAAAACAGAGCTGCGTTTTCATTTTATATTTCAGCTTTGTTTCCCAGGTCTCATCAGGGAGAACTGCTTTGCTCTGAGATCGTGGAGTCGTAAAGGTTGGAAAAGACCTCCAAACTCCCCAGGCACAACGCCCCCCTGCCCACTGACTGCATCCCTCAGTGCCACATCTCCACAGTTCTGGGGCAGTGACCCCAGCATCTCGGGGAGGCCCATGCTGCTCGCTGCTGTGCTGTGGGTGCTGGGGTGTCTTCACTCCATTTTCTGCACACCCACAGAGGGGCTTCTGCTTCCCCCTGTAAATAGCTGGGATGGGAGGGGAGTGGGATGAGAACTTCAGGAGAGGGACACAGAAGGATCTGGGCACTGGGGCTGTGGTCAGTGTGGAGCCAGGCAGAGCTGCTCACCTTATCCTTTATTTATTGTTATATATATCAAAAGGTGTGCATGTGCCCATTTAGAGACATGCATGACTTTCTCATGGTAAGTTTTCTGTATTCTTTGGCAAAAATTAGCTATCAGTAAATTTTTCTATTTGGGAAAAACTCCAGTGGATTAAGAGTGGTTTCCTGCACAGTGCAAACAGCAGAAGGTCAGCGTGGAGGAGACAGGTCCTCGAAGGTCTGCCTTCATCTGCCCTGCTCCTGTATCAACACCAGAGCTCAACCTGCTCCTGTCTCCATGCACCCAGTTCTTCCCACAGCCCCCATACTCCGATATCAGCCCCAAACCCCTTTATCTTTGCCAACCCATGGTGGTGCTGGGATGTCCCACTGCCATTTGGGATGCAGCCCTGCAGGACACGTCGGTCCCTCTTGGAACATCTGAGCCATTCGCCATGGCTTCATCTGAGCGTGTCACTTATGAAAGGGGCTGGAGGCAACACAAGGCTTCCCTTATCCTTACTGATACGTGAGATAAGAACTGTAATATTGTCCCAGAGAAATGTCAGTGGGAAACGTTTCCTTTACGTTTTGGTAACGGCGTGTTGTTTTTGGAAGCTGCTATCTGTGGGAAGGGAGGCACCTGCAGTTAATTTTATCTGTTCCTGTGTGAGGATGGAGCTCCCGGCGCTCCCAGCGCACAGCTCCGAGGGCTCGGGGCGTGATGTGCTGCAATCTCTGCTTTATAAATAACACTTCAGTTGGAGTCTGGTTGCGAGGCCTTGAGTTCGCTTTGTGCAGTCGCTGCTGTGTCGGTGCGGGGCGTTGGAGCCTTGGTGGGTTCCAGTTAACAGCTCACAAACAAATAGGTGATGGTGAGTTTAAAACAGAAAGTTGTTTCATGGAGAAGAATTACAATATAAGGCAGTCCCAAAGACCTCGGGGTGACGTGCTGAATTGGAAGGTCTTGACAGCTGAGTTGGGTTGACTTTGAGAAGCGATCGAGTTAAAAAACAGATTGATGTTCTATCTGATGTACTTCATAGATAACTTTATAAGGAGAATCCGTTCGGGGTTTCAATGCAGTCAGGGCTGGGTGCCCACAGAATGCAGGGAGCTGTGGCCGGGCTCAGGAGCAGACAGGAGCCGCTGTGCCTGGGTTGTGCTGTGTGAGTCCAGGGAGCAGCAGTGCAAACCCACCCAGCAGCCCGCAGGGAAAGCAGAGCTCACCCTGAGTGACTTTCACTTTATTTTACTTTGAGCATTCTCTTGCTGGTGTTGTGTTAGCAGCGAGGTAGAAACAAGACCTAAGGTAGAAACAAGACCTAATGCGGGTGCTTTTAACCACACCTCTATGTTCAAATGGTGTTAATTAGCCAGACAGCCCCTTGCTGATTGACTCTCCTGCTCAGCGCAGGTCCCCTGGCCACTTGCGCTGGTTGTGCTCACAGTTCCGTGTGTTCCTCTCCCACCTGAGGCCCAGAAGGGAGAGCCCTGCAGGTGGGAATTCCTTTGCGTTGACTCGGCTGCCTCTGCCCCCCTTTGCTGGGCCTCAGCTGTGCACAGAAGTGCCCGCCTGGCTCTGCAGTCAGAAGGCTTTGCAGGACGCATTGCGTCCCAGGTCTGCAGAGTGCCCTCATTGCTGGTTAAACATTGATCCGCCCCGACCAACAGCTGGGGGCCTGCGGTCCCCCGGCCCAGCGTGGATCTGCTGCCCTCCTCCTGGGCTGGGGGCTGTAAGGGCGTGTGGGAGCGAAGGGATGCTGGAGGGGTTTCTGTGAGGTTCTCAGGAGCTCAAAAATTGCGGTGCATCCCACTGTGTGTGCTTGGGTTTGAGAGTTTGTCATCTGGTCGGGTCTGCGGTGCCGAGCTTTTGCACAGAACGTGTATGGAGCACCTAATGGAGGGAATAGGAGCTTTGGCTGCCTGGCTGTCTTTGGGCTGGATTTTACATGTCAGAGCTCTTAGAGCAGGAAAGAGAAAAAAACATCCAGATCAACTGAAAAGTAGTTTAGCTGTACCTTCTAAAAGCCTTCAGAGTCGAGAGCTGGGCTGGTTTCTGCCCTGTGAATATGTGCAGCTGAGTTTGAAGATCTGTAAGTAAGCACAGCGCTTCGCAGATCGGTTTCCGTTGCAAACAGAACTGCTGTGGCACGGTGCAGAGGAGGCGCTCAGTGCCACTCTGGGTGTTGCAGAGGAATTGCTCAGTCTGCTCCCTGCCCTCCCTATCAGCCATGAGATTTCATCCTACGATCAGAGTGTTTGATAGATGTTTTGGATGAAATTCTGGAATTTTCTGTCTGCAGCCTCCTCTTGCCAATATCTCTAATAAACTGCAGCCGTGACATCTGTTGCCAGACGGAGCTCCGTCCACAGCCTCATCAAGAGTTAGGACCATCGTTTGGGAAGAAGCCTCTCATTTTGTACGGTCTGCTGTGAGGTACCGTCTGCAGGCTGCTTTCCTTGCCCACTACATTTCGATCCTTTGCCATTTCTAAGTGATGAGTTCACAAAATGAAACCAAGGGCCAGAAAAGGGTGAGAGCTTTGCATACACAGTGAATTTGGAATGCCCTCTGTGCTCCGTCTTAAGAGGCGGGCCTGGGGGATGCACGGCACAGTACCTGAGGTGGCTGGTGGAGGAGCAGCAGATGTTCGGGGTCAGACCAACCTTAGGATGGAGCTTCAGCTGCAGCCAGCTCCTATTTTTCAAAGGCTTCGTTGGCTGCAATGAAGCAGAAGTTGCTCTCACCCACCTCTGCTGTTTGCTCAGGGTTTCACTGGCTGCTCGACGTGCTCAGTTCTGCAGCCCTGCAGCACGGGCTTCGCTTCCCCGCTGCTCTGATGGGACCTCAGCAGCACGCAGTGCCACGGGACCGGCACGCTGCGCTCCAGCTGAGTGCTGGCACACGTCTGCCAGGAGTTAAAAATAACACCGTGGTGCATCAACACGGCTGGAGCCTCCCCAGAGTGAGCCCCTCCAGCACTGCGTGGAGAGGAAACGGCCCGTGCACCCAATGGCCAGGGTTTGTGTGGGGCTGTGGGGGAGAGGAGCTGCAAGGGGGAGAGAAGTGTTACATGAGGACAGCAGTGGCTCCTTTACTCAATCTGCGTTCTTTTGAGGAAGGTTTGGGGATACTTCATGTTTTTTTCTTACTGTACATTTCATTTATTGTGGTCTGAGGCTGTGAAAAAACTCAGGTTGCTTTTTTGGAAGATAAGCGTGAATGAAGTTTAAATGCCAGCACACCTCCGGAATGTTCTTCAGATGTGGAATTGGTGATTGAGAAGTGGAGGAGCAGCAGCTGTGCCCTGAGGGCTGTGCCTTCGGGGCGAGCTGCGGGCAATGGGACGGCGCAGGGTCGCAGCTCAGGCTGTGCCCATCCCATGGCTGTGCCAATCTCATGGCTGTGCCGATCCCATCGCTGCGCTGCCTGCAGCACTCAGCTTTGTCCCTTCTCACTCTGCAGTTTGCCCACCTGCCTGCAAGTCCCAGGGCTGCACGTCGGACGGGCAGTGCTGTCACAGCGAGTGCCTCGGGGACTGCACGGAGCCCAACAACGCGGAGCGGTGCGTGGCGTGCCGCAACTTCTACCTGGACGGGACGTGCGTGGAGACGTGCCCACCCGGGCACTACCGCTTCGAGGGCTGGCGCTGCGTCACCTTCAGCTTCTGCCAGGAGCTGCACAACAAGTGCAAGAGCGCCCGCGAGTCGGGCTGCCACGTCATCCACAACAACGAGTGCGTCCACGAGTGCCCGTCGGGGTACATCATGAACTCCAGCAAGTAAGTGCGGGGCTGCGGGCTGGGTGTTGGCCTGGTGCTGCGTCCTGTGCTTTGCTTTCTTTTGGGCTTGGAGGATTTGCGGTCTGTGAGACCAAGATTTCCATGTTTGAGTGTGAGTTACCTGGTCTACTTTAAGGTGATTTGCAAACTAATACCTTGCTAATTGAAGCCATTAGAAGCAGACAGGCTTACCTGTAGTAGGTAAGTAGTACACCAAGAGTCTCTTCTTGCTCTGCTTCATTTGGCCTCACTTGCTCACTGTCCTGCCTGGAAAAAAAAGTGGGAGAGGAAGGCTGGAAGAGAGGGAAGAGCGTCCTCAGGTCAGAGGGGTCCTCCTGTAACCAAGGGAAGTGGAGAACAGAGCGGCCTCAGCAGCCCTGCATGCTTTCCCCTGCAGTCAGCCCTCGGAGCAGGAAGCCTTGTTACTGAGCAGAATGGGGAGAAGTTGTGTCTAATCATGGGAGCACAGCGCGTTTGGATTGGGCCATTCTTAGAATGTCTGTCCTTCATCCCCGTAATTACGTTGATTGGGCAGGTTCAGGTTGTGCCAGACAGAAGTGAACAAACAACCGCAGCGCAAGTCAAAGCAGGGAGCAGCCGTTCCACTTGTTACCAGGTTTTTTCAGCAAAGAAATGATATAATTGATGTTGCTGAGCTGTGTATCACTGAAAACTTTGCTGTTTGTCCCACAGTAGCGTTTTGTATTGAGATGAGTCAGATTTCCTATGAATATTGCTAGCTTTGTGCTCCTGCAATAACGGTTTCAGGGAATTCACTCTAACAGGACTTCATGTTCTGTTTCCTCGTTTGCTTTTCAAAAGAATGATCCAGCAGCCCCCAGAGCAGATATGCTGTTGTGTAGCAGCAGCCATCTCCTCTCTCCTGTGCCTGTTCCAGGCTGCTGTCAGTGGGAGCTCACAGTGCTGGGATTTTCCTGGAGCGTGTATTTCTCCAAACAAGTTGGAAACACATTCTTGTGGTGTTATGACCAGGGCAAGCACTCATCGTTCTTGCTGCCATTTAAGAAGCGCTTCCCCGGAGCACAAAGCACGTGTTGCTTGCCTTTTTCAACGCAACCTCATGTGCAGCCCTTAATCAGAGGATTCCCAGATGAGCAGCCAACTCTGCTCGTTGGTTCGTGCTCTGAGATTGGAAAGTGGGCATTGGGTTTCTTGGTCTGGAGGCCCCGGGTAGGGGTGGCACTGTGCAGCATTGTGGTGGCCAGGCCACTCAGAATACACTTCAAAATATGGAAACGACAACTTTAAGAATTAGCAGCAGTTATTTGGAGTTCCTCGAGGCCACGTGTTGCACACCTTGAGTGAATGCCACGGCGTGTTGTCAGGACGGTTCTGCTTTGAGTTTATTACTCTGCTTTGGAGAACTGCTGGAGGTGTCCCAGAGTGCATTCTTCAAAGAGTGTCTCACCTGCATTCTTGCCTCTCTGTTTTTCAGCTTGCACTGCACTCCTTGTGCAGGGCCCTGTCCAAAGGTTTGTGACTATGGGAAAGAGAAGACTATTGATTCGGTGACGTCGGCACAGGAGCTCCGTGGCTGCACAGTTGTTAATGGAAGCTTGGTTATAAATATCCGTGGAGGAAGTAAGTTGTGCATGAGTGAGGGTGTGGGGAGCACTGGATGTGAGATTGCTGAATATGACACCATCCATGACCTGGGGCGTTGCTTTTTTGCTTTGACCATTTTGAATCGAGAGAGAAATGACAGCAGAGCAAATGTTCCTCTCACATTCGCGAGGGTTTTTTTTGCTGAGTGATTTTTGTAAGGTCTTTTGGATTTGCATAGAGCGGTTCCATTTCATCTCTTTGAGCTCTGATATCAGTGTTCCCCCCCGCATTATCAGAAAACTAAAAGCAATGTTTTCCTCTCCCTAGATAACATAGCAGCTGAGCTAGAAGCGAATCTTGGCTTGATAGAAGAAATCTCAGGTTACCTAAAAATCCGCCGGTCTTATGCCTTGGTTTCTCTTTCTTTTTTTCGTAAACTACATCTGATTAGAGGAGAAACACTGGAAGCTGGGTGAGTTCTTTCAAAAGATATCTGACTTTACTACTTTGAAGTGTCAGGAGTGCCAGTGCTTACCAGGGTGATTTGTATTGACAAACAATCCCCGCGTTGCTGTTAAACATTCCTCTGCCTGCGGATTGTGGCCTCCAGGGAAGACAGTTTGCATTTCTTTTATGTGCTGTTTGGGGCAGGGGGTGGCATGTGGGGAAGGGCTGTTAGTAGATCCCCTACCAATGCACATTTTCCTTCCCTGCTTTCAGAAATTATTCATTCTACGCCTTGGACAACCAGAATCTTCGCCAGCTCTGGGACTGGAGTAAACACAACCTCACGATAGCACGAGGCAAACTCTTCTTCCATTATAATCCCAAACTGTGTTTGTCAGAAATCCACAAGATGGAGGAGATCTCTGGAACTAAGGGGCGTCAGGAGAGGAACGACATAGCCCTGAAGACAAACGGTGACCAAGCTTCATGTAAGGAACTTTCAGAATGCATTGGCACTTGGATCATTTTTCTTTCCCTCTGTCTTTGCTAACTTCATGCTCTTAGCGCCTTCAGCCTAGCGTGTGATTTTTGTCCAGGGACTGTCCTTGTCCTTTTGGTAAAGCACCAGGCATGTGACTGCCCACTTGCTTGTGCACCGCAGGGACGCTGTCAGCGTGCCATGAGTAAAGCACTCCTGGGTGCTGCCTCTGGCCAGGAGCCCGCCTTGCCAGCTTCGGTCCTCAGAAGTTTTCTCTTTGTGTGCTCAGCTGTGAGATTTTCAGGGCTGAGTGCATTATTGTGTCGCTTTGAAGAGCTGAGCACAACATAACCTCAGTCCAAACCAGGACCTCGTGTTACTGCCGAGCACCCAGTTTATAGTCATCATCTTCTATTCCCATGTCATGAGGAGGCAAGAGGAACACAGAATAAGTTGCTATGACAACTCTCAGAATTTTTTTCCACAATTTGGACTGTGCTTTTCAGAGGTTTTTAAGCTAACAGTTTTCTTTGATGATAACAATAAGCCAGTGCCTGTACTGGCGCGGCTAAAGAGCAGAGGGGCACTGGTGCTTGGTTCTCTAACTAAAGGCACAACACTGAAGGTGTAGTTTTGTAGACACATATTTTGGCAGCGGTGCTGCCAGTAGTGCATCCCTCCCGCACTGCCAGCTCTGCTGTTCGTTGCCATTCTGTGCCACGTGCAATCCCCGCTGCCTGTGAAGCAGATCATACAGCTAATCTGGGGTAAAAAATGGCCATTTCTGCTTTGTTGTTCTTGTCTTTTTTGCATCTCTGCTCTGATTTGTTGTGTAGCCTCACACAGTTTTAATGCATGCAGGAACAGGATCAAGGACAGGGTGTTACAGGATCAGTAAGGTTGGAAGAGACCACTGAGGTCATCTGTTCCAACCATGAGGTGCTGATGAACGTATTGCCACTAAAGCCCCCAACATCTGTTAAGCTGTGGTTTCAGTTCCTTACACTCTTTTTACAGCTTGCATGCTTCCATCATCCTGTGGCTGCACTGCTTGTCTGTGTTTGGTGACAGCACTGCTTCAGTTCTACCCTTTTGTTATGCTGTGTAGCTGGTAGTGAACAAATACAACAACTGGAGATGTTTCAGCTGAATCATTTCCCTGATCTGGTTTGCCACATATCAACACATACAGGCTTGCCAGCATGGTGGGGAGTGAGGAACATAATGACTGCCTACCTAAAAACTGCAAAAACAGGCATTGAGCCACAGCCTCAGGGCTATCACAGCCCTGCTTGGGCAGAGCGAAGGCAGCACAAGGAGTGAGCTGTCTGAAAAGGTCATCTCCTCCCTTGAGACAGCGGCGAGGCCTTCCCACACTCGGGATGAGGCTGGATTTGGGGTTCAGGTCCAGCTCTCCTGTGGCATTGCAGCTCCCAGGCTGGCTGGTTGCTTTGTGCTGGACCACACGGTCACATTTCTCTGTGCCAGCTTTAACCCTGCCTTGCTGTGCTGCTCTCTGTGCCACCCCCCACCTCAGACCACACATTGCTGGTGTGTTTGGCTTTTTGATTTCATGGTTCAAGTCGAGTTTTCACATTGGCAGCATCCTGTTTACAAAAAAAAAAACAAACAAACAAGAAACAACCAACTCCCAAACACAACACCTTGTTTGTGCTGGATGTGTGGACAGCAAAGTGAATGTTCTTCATCCCGTGTGCAGCTACTGCAGGAGTGGCAAATCCCATCAGGGCTGTGCAGTTTGTCCTTGGGCTGTGTGGACATTCTGTGTGGTAATGCTTCCCTTGGGAATCAAAACTCCACCCCTCCTGCGACTGTTTGTTGTCCTGTGCTGCTGTTTGCAAAGGCAGCGTGCTGCTCCTGGGTCCATGCTGTGTCTTGTCTTGTGTACGTGGATTTTAAAGCACGTTGCCTTTACATTTCACACTCAGTAGAACTCAGTTCAGCTTTTATAGGATTATTTTCATAGAATCATAGAAAAATGTAAGCTGGCAGGTTCTCATATTTTTCCCTGGAGGACTGAAAGTTCTACGATACTGAAAAACAAAACCAGAAAGCCTTGTTTTTCTCTTAGCAAAATGATTGTCATCTCTTTTTTTTTATAGGTGAAAACGAATTGCTGAAGTTCTCTTCCATCAGAACATCTCACGACAAGATCCTGTTGAAGTGGGAGCCATATTGGCCTCCTGATTTCCGTGACCTCCTGGGATTTATGCTCTTTTACAAAGAGGCGTAAGTGGCAGCTCAGGGAGAGGGGAGCTTCAGCAACCGATGGTTGGGCTGCAAAGCAGCAGCAGTGCTGGGCTTCCATAAATGACATCTGGCATTGTAGAGCAGACATTAATGCTGCTGTGCTCATAGCTAATTAGAAGTCAGACAATCACAGAGACCACGCTTAAGCTTCCAGCGTTGCCCTTTTATATAAGTATTAATTAAGTTCTCTGACTTAAGTGATTTGTATGAAGTCAAATCCCCCATTTAAGAGCAACCCCAACATCAGTTGTTCCAGCTGTTCCAGGTGTACGTATTGCAGCCATTTCCCCACTGCCTTCAGAGTTACTTATTCCCCTTTAGGTGGGAAGCACTTTTAAAAACCGGTTTTGCCAAACTGGTTTTCATGCAGCTGAAAATAATCAGCTGAGATTGAGTTTGTCTGGGTTGTGGAGCGGTACCTGATGCGCGGTGCTGGTAGGAGGCTGGGCTGCAAAGCTCCCTGTGCTTTATTTCCAGAATACACGGCATGCATAGGATGGGATAATTAGAATTTATCCAAGGGATAAGGGATGCCTTCAGAAATCATGTCTCCAACGCCATGGTGTCAGGATTCTGTTAATTTGAGGCTTATTTTTGTTCGTTTTTAAGTCCGTACCAAAACGTGACGGAGTTTGATGGGCAGGATGCCTGCGGCTCCAACAGCTGGACAGTGGTGGATGTGGACCCGCCGCCGCGCTCCAACGAGCCCAAAGCCCAGGCCCAGCCAGGCTGGCTGCTGCGGGGCCTGAAGCCATGGACACAGTATGCTGTGTTTGTTAAAACTCTGGTCACCTTCTCAGATGAACGAAGGACGTACGGTGCGAAGAGTGAGATCATCTACGTGCAGACCAACGCTACAGGTCAGTGCCATTACGTTAACGTTGCACTGCAAATGGAAAGCTGACTTCTGGCAGGTGGTCACAGCAGTGCTGTGTCTGTGGCACTTTGCTCCCCTCTGTGGGAGGCTGTTCCTAAAGGAATGGAACGATGTGTGTTTCCCTGAGTGAGGAGAGAGCGCCGTTGTGCTCTTGTTCCATCAGGTCCACGTGGCCATGGGTGAGAGCCCGTGTTCACTCCGTGTCCTGCTTTTGTTCCGTGGGAAAGGGAGCTCACTTGTGGAGTTGTCACAGAGCTGTGGAAGTGACCTCTGTCTCTTTTCCTCCCACACAGTTCCATCAGTCCCATTAGATCCAATTTCTGTTTCCAACTCTTCATCCCAAATCATCCTGAAGTGGAAGCCGCCCTCAGAGCCCAATGGCAACATCACACACTATCTGGTGTTCTGGCAGCAGCAGGCAGAAGACAGTGAGCTTTATGAACTCGATTACTGCTTGAAGGGTGAGTTCCAGTTCTCTCTCTGTGCCCTTCTTTCAGGCCTTCCAGATGGTGGAGCTCTCTCAGCATTTATGGGGATTTTTCACACACTTTGGAGATGCTCTGGAGCTGTTGTTCAGGAAGCAGTTTGAGGCACAGTTGTGTTATCCCCCGTTCAGTTGTATTTACATTATTCTCTATTGCTGAGTCATGTGCAAAAGATCTTCAAAACCCTCTTTTCACAAAGTAATCAAATATGTATTTTTTGGATCTCCCTTCTGCACTTGTTTTTTTAAACTGAGCTACAAGTTTAATAACAGCTGTGGAGAAGCAAAGTGAAGCATTGCAATACTTCTGGGGATCAGTGGCCAAGTTAATTTTTGAAGGCGTTTTGTGCCGTGGGGTTTGGAATGCTTTCAGGATCCACTGAGAAATCCCAGAATCTGGTGCCCCGTGTTCCCAAACTGAGGGGAGCAGAGGTAGAACTCTGACATCCGAGCTTCATTTCAGAGTTAGTACAGAATCAAAGCCCTGTCATAAGAGAGGGAATGTGAGCATGGATATGAAAGTGTGGGAGGCAGAATGTGCCGTGAATCTCGTGTACGCTCGTTTTGAACCTTGGTAGGATGGAACTTCTACTTCTGGCATGAATGACAGTAAAACTGTTTTGTCCATAGGATTAAAACTGCCCTCAAGGACGTGGTCTCCTCCTTTTGAATCTGAAGACCCTCAGAAGTACAACCAAAGCGAAAGTGAGGATGTCAGTGGAGAATGTTGTTCCTGTCCGAAAACCGACTCTCAGATCCAGAAGGAGCTGGAGGAGTCCGCGTTCCGCAAGACCTTTGAGAACTACCTTCACAACGAGGTGTTCGTCCCCAGGTACGAGCAGCAGCCGTGGCTGCATGCTGTGGGGTGGGAGCTGAGCTCTGCTCCTGCTGCTCTTGGGATTTGGAAGGTCACGCTCTGTCTTCTGTCTCTGAATTCTCCTCAGTTTGAGATCAAGGGCAGAATGCTCCGCGAATATCTAAAGCCCCGTAGCTCGCTGTAACTTGTGTGATGCCAGGAACAGCCTTTTTTTTTCCTGTCTTAAAATGTTGTGGTCACTTTTCATCCTGTTGAAAAGAAAGGAAAAGAAAAATGGAAGTTTTCCACGCCACAGCCTTGTCCTTCAGCGCGGTGTTGCGGTCTTCCTCACGCTTAGTGGGGGAAATACCTCCAGTACCACGAGGAGTGCAACTGCTGTGGGTGGTGAATGTCCTGTTCTGGATGGCACACACAGTGTCACGTTAAGGGGTGTTCAATGTCTTCACACTTCACATGCAACTGACAAAGGGAGCACTGGGAATCAGCTTAGTCTGTAATGGTTTACCCCCTTCACTGTCATGTGTTCTGTGCTCTAAATCTGTTCTCTGCTTCCTGCCCTTAGCTATTAAATGTTTCTTTGCAGCTGCCTGACAAAAGCTACCCTACTGCACTGAGTGTTGTTTATTATTTGAGTGCTTTCCTCTTCTCTGAGAGTCCGACTTGGTGCCTGCAGTTGTCCCATCACTCCTCTTGCAGCTTTTAGTGCTGATCAGAAGGACAGGTTTCAGTGTCAGGACACATCGTGTTTAAAAGCACAGGGGAAGCAAGCTGTGTACAAAGCCAAACTCCTCTTGATGTAGGCAGACGATTCTGACAATCTGATTTCTTTTTTTTCTTTTCTTTTTGTTTTATTTTAACCGTATTGCACAGCCAGCCCAGGATGCTTCTCAGGCCAGTTTCTGGGGTATGTATTTTGGGAAGAAACCAATCACCAGGATGTGCCACCTTGTCAGCCTGCTAAGGAAGAAACCTCTACTGCCCCTAGACTGAATGATATTTTACAAACAAACCCTTAAGTTGTGAGCAAGCAGTAAAGATATTGTTCTTCTGACGTGCATCCTGCATGTCTTTTCTGACAGGTTTCAGGCTGTGGCAGTGTGGATGAGTCTTGTTTTTTCTGTGCACAGTGCACCTATTGCCTGCCATAGGGCAGCCTGTCCTGAGCCTGACAGCTGAACACAGCGTGTTCTTTTTAATCATGCTCCCAACAGTTTCATCCTCTCTCAAGCACTGTGTGGCCTCCCCTTGAGATGAAAGTCTTCAGCTGGCCATGGGGAGGAAGCATGGAGATGAGGCCAGCAGAGAACAGAATGCTGCAGGGCTGCAGATTACAGCTGAGAAATTGCTCCCCTGCGTCTCATGGAATCACAGAATGCTTTGGGTTGGAAATGTCCCCAAGAAAGGGGCATCCACCACCTCTCTGGGCAACCTTGCCAGTGCTTCACCACCCTTACCATAAGGAACTTTTCCTTATATCCAGTCTAAATCTCCCCTCTTTCAGTGTGAAACCATTTCTCCTTGTCCCATTGCTCCTTCACTGTCTGCACAGCTAACTGGCTGCTCCAGGAGTCCATCACAAGTCTTGTGGGTCTGTTTGCTCTGGCAAAGCAAACTACAAGTGTCCAAATGCTTCATGCCATTCCCACTTTCCCAGTCAGAGCTACTGGATACCTTTTCAGCATGTGCTTTGTAACCTCCCTTAGCAGCTGAACAAAGTGGCCGTCAGCACCTGATGCTTTGTTTCTTCTTTCCTGTGTTATTGCTCTTACATTGGAACAAGTTTTGCAGAGATTGGAGCGGAAGGGCGATGGAAAGCAGTGCAGGTTGCCCAGGAGGGGAACCTCCAACCATCCGTGGAGGCATCACAGCTGGATGCCCTGAGCAGCTGCCCTGCTGTGTGCAGGGGCACATTGGAGGTGCTTTGCAGCCTCAGCAGCTCTGTGACTCTGTGGAAAGCATGGAAAGGTTTCAAAAGTAATAAAAGTCCTGAGAGGCAGAGGGGGAGTAACTGGCTGCTGCTCAGGATGTATTTTTGTGTCTGCTCTCAAGCGCTGCTACTGAATAAGTAGCGTCACTCTTCTCTGTCGCCGTCCTTCTTTGTCAGTCTCTGTCACTCATTTCTGCCATTACAGATATTAGAGGGCTGCAGAGTGAATGAGGTCTGGGAAATGACTTGCATTGAAAGCAGCTTTCTTCTGGGCTTCTTCATCCATTCGTTGTATGGACAGGCACACGACCTCGTGTGCCGGCATGGGGGAAGGCAGACTGGTAGCAGTGTCAGCCTGTGCTTGGTGTGGGTGTGTGGAAAAGAGAATTTGGCAAGAAAACAGCTGCAGGCCTTGGGTAATAAGTAAGGGAAGAGCTGCATCTACAGCTCCTTGTATTTTACATCGTGTTGCATCAGTGATCAGATAACTGATCTACTTGTGAAAAACAAAATTCCCCTGAGCTGGAGGAGCAGCTGAATCCACGCTTTGTAAGCAGCGGTGTGCAGCTCTGCTGTGGAGGTGGGGGCCCAGAGCTCTGCCCTCTGCCCCTTCACTGGGGGGGGGGGGTGCTCAGAATAACCTGTGCTGAGGTAACAGCAGCTCCAGAACGGTGCCTCTGGAGTTAATTAGTAATGAGAGGGAGAGCAAATGAAAAGCTGGAATGCACCCTGCTGGCCCTGCCGCTTGGCAGCAGCTGAGCCGTGCGTTGTTTGGAGGAGCTGCTGTGAGTGCTGTGTGGGATCCATCACACCAGGAGGCAGAAGTGGGGCGGTGCTCAGTCCGGCAGCAGAGCTTCCATCACTTGGTGCAATTTTAGAGGCTGGAGATGCCTCAAGTGTGGGTTCAGCTCGGGTCGCTCTTTGTGCCCTTTAACAGCTGCACACACAGACAGAGATCATCGTCCCCTTAAAACACAGCCCTGTGTCACAGCAGTAATTCCTTCTGTGCAGCCATTGCTGATCCACCACGTTGGTTGGGACCCGGCATTCCTGGTGGTGGTTCTGTTCTGATCCTTGTTCCTTTTGTTTCCAAGAAAATGGCATCTCAGAGCAGTTCTTAATTCTGCCGAATTGATTGTGTGCTGGGTGCAGTGCATTGATGCGATCGCACACCACTTCTATTTTTCCAACAGCAAAAAATTGGTTTTCAGACTGACGTGCATCATTTGAGAAGCAACATTTGGTTGGCAAACAGCACAACCAGCGCGAGGTCTGAATCTCTGCCTTTTGCTGTGCACTGTTGAGAAGATCTGGATGTGTTTTGGTTTAGGAAGAGGTTAACATAGTCTAAACGGACAAGTCCCAATGTGGTTTTATGACACCTGGGAGGTGTGGAACATCCCGGGTCACTGCAGCGGGGTCTGTGGGATGACCACATTTGCTCCCAGCTGAATGTGGAGGAGATGAACTCCCCGGGCATTGCAGCAGTGCTGTGTGCCATGAGGAGCTCCGGCAGAGCGTGGGTCCTCCAGCAAATCCCTTTGACGTGAGCTTTCGCTGTGTGCAGAGTTGTGCAGGGAAGGTGTCCCAGGGTTACGTCCTTCTGTGCATTGCAGGGGCTGAGGTGGACTGCTTGCTTAGAAAACAAAACCAAAACGTGTTTCATGGCAAATATGGGTCTTATTTGAGTTTCCAGTTGCTCCCTGTGCTCTCCTGTTTTAACTCTTTGTTCTCAGATGGATGTGCTTGTATTGGATGTAGCAAATAACGTTGTCATATTATTTAATAGACCATCGAGGAAGAGAAGAGACCTGGGCTCCATTGCAAATGCCACCGTGGTGATCCCCACCATCCCGTCCTCTCCAAACTCTTCTGCAGCAGCATCTGAGAGCGCAGAGGAACAGAAACCTTTTGAAAAGGTGAAGTTCAAGGAGTCCCTGGTGATCTCCGGGCTGCGGCACTTCACGGGGTATCGCATTGAGCTCCATGCCTGTAACCACGATGCTCAGGAGTCCCGGTGCAGCGTTGCAGCTTATGTCAGTGCCAGGACCATGCCGGAAGGTAATGAGCTTGATGAGCTCTGCGTTGGGTAGCTGTTCCAAAATGCTGCTTTTCCTATGAGAGCTGCAGAAATACAGAACAGTAGAATCATTAAGGGTGGAAAAGACCACTGAGATCATCTGTTCTGACCACTGACCCATCGCATCGTGTAGGACTGGTGCTCTCTATTTCCTAATGGGAAGGGATGTTGGATGAGGTTCTGTCTGTTTTGCAAAAGAGATGAAATAAGCGTCATTAATCCTGACCTTACTTTTAGCTAAGGCAGATGACATCGTTGGGCCAGTCACCCATGAACTGGTTGAAAAAAACACCGTGCACTTGAAGTGGCAGGAGCCCAAGGAGCCGAATGGCCTTATTGTGCTGTATGAAGTGAATTACGGCCGTCTGGGGGAAGCAGAGGTGAGAATTTCTGCTTGTTCCTTCGCACAGCACACATGGGAAGCAGCTTTGTGCTTCTCCCTGCTGCGGTGGCTGTGTTGGCGGAGGTGGTGGCTAACAGCAGGAAGCTGCACGTGGAGGGAGCTGTGCTTGTCTCCAGCTCTCCTTTTCCTTTGGCACACACCTCCTATTGGCACAAGGCATCGCGATGTATTTGCTCTGGTACCCGATTTGCCGACATTCTGCATGGACTGTTTTTCAGGATTTCATTGTGTAGAAGGACAGGAGCTGGCTGTGTGCATCCGAACTGCTTAGAGAAATTAGGGAAGCGTTCAACAGGCAGAGGGCTGCTGGGTGCAGGCAGCCGTGCGGGCGGCGCGCTGCCAGCTCAGCTTGCGTTTCAGGGCTGAGGTGCGGAGCAGCAGGCGGCACACGCTGCGTAATCTGAACTCCTGCACTGTAAAATACAAACCCAGGACAAACCGCTGCCTCAGAAAAGCCCTGAGCATGTGAAAACCCTATTTGTGTCCGTTTGCTCATCGAGGAGGCGAGGGAGAAATCCAGCGTCCTGTTACAGAGCTGCAGGGCAGTAACACGAGGCGCCCTTCCCTCCTCCCGCAGGAAGCGCACTTCTGCGTGTCCCGAAAGCACTTTGCCAGCGAGCAGGGCTGCAAACTGCGCGGGCTGCAGCCTGGAAACTACAGCGTGCGGATCCGAGCGACGTCGCTGGCTGGGAACGGCTCCTGGACAGAGCCCACCTACTTCTACGTGGCTGATTACCGTGAGTTCTTTTGTCTTCCTCAGCATTTTAACCTTGGTAGGAGCCCGCATCGCTGCTGGATGCAGGCGGTGCACGGGGAGCTGCAGAGGCTCGTGGAATGTTTACCAGTGCGTCCGCTTGCAGTAAATCAGGGTTAGTGAGCAGTGTGTCTGTTTCCTTCCTTGAGCAGCACTCTGAGCTCTTGTTCTGATCCACATTAACCTCTGTCAGCTCCACGTTCACTCCTGTTTATGCAAGGCAGAGATCTTACTGAATTCTGAGACCTGTGTTAATACCTCCAACTCTCTCTTTCTCTCTTAGTGAACGCTCAGCCTAATATTGCTGTTATAATTGTTCCGATTATTTTTGCCATAATCATTGCTGGAATTATTGGAGCTGCTTACGTGCTCGTGAAAAAGAGGTGAGTGCATCATTTCGGTCAGAACAAGCAGAACTTCCATCTAAAGATTCTTTTTATTTGTTGGAAGTAACTCTGTATTTATTTTCTAACTCAGATAATGATTGTAACATGAAGTTCTGGAAATGTTTTTGCATGTTTGCAAATTGGGATAGTTGCTGTTTGTTGCACACTGTGGGAATTAGTCAGATTCAGCTCGAATCCGAGCAGTGTGCAGTAAACAACCCTCGTCCCTCTTCCAGACAAACTGAAGGACCAACGGGGCCACTCTACGCGTCCTCTAACCCCGAATACCTCAGTGCCAGTGATGGTAAGAGCAAGGAGGGCTTCTGGGCCTTATTCAAGGTGGGGTTCTTATGGCTGCCTTTTGAAGCCCAGACCTCCACGCCCTGCGGCGGTGCTGCTGCAGCAAAGTCTTTTGAAAGGCTCTTGCTCAACCCATCCGTGTCTCTCGGCAGTGTACGTTCCTGATGAGTGGGAGGTCCCACGGGAGAAGATCGCTCTGCTCCGTGAGCTGGGCCAGGGCTCGTTTGGAATGGTGTACGAGGGCATTGCCAAGGACATCGTGAAGGGAGAGCTGGAGACCCGCGTGGCTGTGAAAACGGTGAACGAGTCGGCCAGCCTGCGGGAGCGCATCGAGTTCCTCAACGAAGCCTCTGTGATGAAAGGCTTCAGCTGCCATCACGTGGTAAGCGTCGCCGGCGGCTCTGATGGTGGCAAGTGAGAGCCCCATCCTATAATATTCCTTCAATGCTTTGAAAGCTTGATGTTCCAGGAACAAAAGCAGCCTTTCTGCAGAAGCAATTGATGAAGAGAGCTGGGATTTTCCATGTCTGATTTTATAAAGCACACCAAGCTCTTTGCATCATTTCCCTTTGCCCTGTCAGAAGTGCAGGCAGAGCCGTGGGTGCTGCTGCAGGCTCTTCTGCACGCTGGCTTTGTTCTCACCCAGGTTCTCACAGCTGGGCTTTGCCCCTGTGCTCTTACACAGCCCTGGCAGAACTTCTCCTTTGCTCTCAGGTTCGCCTCCTCGGGGTGGTCTCCAAGGGCCAACCCACGCTGGTGGTCATGGAGTTGATGGCACACGGGGACTTGAAAAGCTACCTGCGCTCTCTGAGACCCGACGCTGAGGTACGGATGGGGAGAGGCTGTGTGCTGTGGCACAGAGCAGCTCGGTTGGTGCTTTAACGCTGCTGTGTTTGTTGTAGAATAACCCTGGTCGTCCACCACCAACACTGAGAGAAATGATCCAGATGGCTGCGGAGATCGCCGACGGCATGGCCTATCTGAATGCCAAAAAGTTTGTTCACAGAGATCTGGCAGCTCGGAACTGCATGGTTGCAGAGGACTTCACTGTAAAAATTGGAGGTATTCAGATCGCGGTCAGCAGACAATTCTGTGCGTCGTATTTGTGATGTGTGTGAATCCCAGGCCCAAATCTTGCAGGTATCCAAGGCCACGGATGGGCCTCGGGCAGCCTGAGCTGCTGGGGGACATGGAGCCCACGGCAGGGGTGGGACTGGGTGATCTTTAAGGTCCCTTCTGACCTGAGCCGTTCTGTGACAAGCCTTTTGAAAGTCATTTTCCTTCCACAAGAGCCAGTTTTTAACTGAAACCCATCTAGAATAAGTAAATATAAAATCCAAAAATAAATGAAAACCCAACAACTTGGTGATTTTTCAGACCTCTTTGGACATAAAGCCAAAGCAGTGGGATTATGGGCAAAAAGAACTCAGTTTAATTCAAAGGGATGAATAAAAATGGTGTTTAGAATAGAATCTGTCACTGAAAATTGTAACTTTGGAGCCTCTGTCACAGCTCTGTAGTAATTAATAAAGGGAAAACTGTAGGGAAGAGGAGTTTTGAGTGTTAATGACAGGGTGAGCAGTGATGGCAAGTTGCATAGGAGCCCTGCTGGGAGTGTGGCAGTGGCCTGGTGCCCAAGGAAGGCATCAAGAGGTGTTGTACAGTGAAAGCAGCATGGAAGGAGAGGCATGAACACAGCCCCATTGCTTTTGTCAGACTTCGGCATGACCAGGGATATCTACGAGACGGATTATTACCGAAAGGGCGGCAAAGGGCTTCTGCCTGTGCGCTGGATGGCGCCCGAATCGCTGAAGGACGGCGTGTTCACAACGTACTCAGACGTGTGGTGAGTTGTGCTCAGCCAGGTGGATCCTGGGTGGGAGGTTCACTGTTCTGACACACGTGGTGCAGGCAGAACACGGCCTTGTTCTGAAACCCTTTTCTTAAAATGCAGTAATTCTTGAAGATGTGTGTTGTCCAAAACAGGACTCAGCGTGGATCTCTGGGATGTTTCTCACCAGGAGTCTTGTTTCTTTCTTAGGTCATTTGGTGTTGTCCTGTGGGAGATCAGCAGCTTAGCAGAGCAGCCGTACCAGGGACTCTCCAACGAACAGGTGCTGAAGTTTGTGATGGATGGAGGATACCTGGATCAGCCAGACAACTGCCCAGAGAGGCTGTAAGTAGCAGAGCAGCACTGGTCAGCAGAGCTGCACGCTGTGGGAAAAGCGTGGGCAACACAGGCAGCCCCACAGATGGCATTTCTGACCCACCTCTCTCCTGGGGAGAAACAAAGCAGAATTTAGTGAGCCACCTCTCACAGACATTAATTAGAGCATCCTTAGTGAGACCAGCCCTTGACGCTGCAAGGGGAAATCAAACCAGCCTGGGGCCTACACTGTGAGTACAGACTGGAGAAAGCGAAATTCAAAGCACAGGAAAAGCTTAGAATGCAAGTAAGCATTGCATCAATAGCCCTAAAAGAGGACACTGTCTAAAGACAGAGTGCAAAGCTCCTCCCAGAGGGGGTGGCAGCCTGGAGCAGGCGTTCTGATGTATGGGGTTGGGGTTCCTGTCCCCCACTGCTTGTGATGTCCAGTGTCCATGGGCTGGCGGTGACTGCGTCCCCCAGCCGTACCCAGATGCTCCCTGAGCTGCTGCTGTTGAAGTGTTTAAAAAGAAATCTTGTTGGTAAGCATTCAGCCTGAGCAGGGTGTTGGGACTGAAGGCTGTAAGGAGCCTCTGGAGCAGCGTGCAGAGTGATGGGAAGGAGCCCTGGCTGGGAAAGGGAATGCCAATAGTAGCTCCCTGTTCCCAGCAGCCTCTTACACATCCCACCGCTGGCCAAAGCAGCGCTCCCAGACTCAAAAATAAACATGTTTTGTGAGTACCTTTATGAAAAAAGCCTGCTGTCCTGGGGACTCGTCTCTCCTGCCTGGTGCAAACTCCAGTTTGAAGCTTTTTTTGTACCTAGGAGATTTGTGAGTTTGTTCTTTGTGATATGGTAACACGTGACCTCTTGCTGCAGCCTTTCTCTTGGGTTTGTTGTTCACAGGGCCTCTGTCCTCTGCACAGCTTCCCCTTTTCCGTGTGGCTGTAGAAACTTTCAGGCTGTGTTCAGATTGAATGAATTAAAAATTGTGAGATGGCTCTAAGAGTGCACACACACACACACACACACATGGAGTGCACGAACTGCAGCCCTGTATCGTTTGGAAGCTGAGTCAGGAACAGTGGAAGGGATTGGAAGGAATTTTTAATCTAGACAGAAATAGAGAAAAAGCAGGGAGAGAACGAATGGGAAAATGGAGATGGGAAACAGAGCCGAGGCCTCGGCTGGAGTGGGAGTGAGGGGTCGGGGAGCAGCAGGGCAGCCCTGCTCTGTGTGTTTCTGCCAGTCGTGGAATTGTTTCTTCCAATGCCCGACTCTCGTTTGCCCTCACCAGGCACAACCTGATGCAGATGTGCTGGCAGTACAACCCCAAGATGCGCCCCACCTTCATTGAGGTCATTGAGATGCTGAAGGAGGATTTGCACCCCAGCTTCCAAGAGGTTTCCTTCTTCTACAGCGAGGAGAACAAACCTCTGGAAACAGAGGAGTATGAGATGGACTTCGAGAACATGGAGAGCATCCCCCTCGACCCCTCCTCGTACACACAGAGGGACAAAGCCCTGGGGAGGGACAACGGGCCCTCCATGGCCCTCAAGGGGAACTACGAGGAGCACATACCTTACACTCACATGAACGGTGGCAAGAAGAACGGGCGGATCCTCTCCATGCCCAGGTCGAGTCCTTCCTAACGCCTCCCGTGGCCCAAGGGTTGTGTCTGCTTTTCTCCCCTCCACGAATCTCAGGACTCTTTGTTATTGCTGCCGCAGTGTATGACACACATCTACAGACTCTTCAGATTTTTAATCATCTTATGATTAATACTTTTTTTTTTTTCCCTTTTTTTGCCAAGTTGACTGGTTGTCAGTGGACTTATCTGTGAACATAAATGGAAGAGGTTTCCATGGCTGCTCTCCTTTCTGTAACCATGGTTTCAAAACAGGAAGCGACCGCGTCAGTTCAACTGAAGGAGGAGCATCTGCGTTTGCCAACAACAGCCGTGAAATTCGCCGCTCTCTGAGCTGCGGTGTAACGGTGTGGAACAAACCTCAGCGGGGCAGCAACGTCCCCAGGAGAATTCCAGGCTTCAGGCATCCTCGTCACTACAGCCGAAGGTTCGACACCGCGGTCGGACGCCAGATCCTCAGATTGACCAAGAGCTGCTGCTTTCGTACTTTTTCCATGGGTTAAAGCCCAGGGGTGCGTGCGTGTGCGTGCGTGTGTGCAGTATCCATATGTGGGGTGTATACGTATAGCAAAATATACACTTCTGGTTTTTGTACATAAGTTTTGTATGTTCTCACGGAAGCTTTCCTCTTCTCGGAAGCGTGTACTTCTCTTTCTCCCGTTTCCCTGGAGTGACCGAATCCTACACAGATTATTTTTATACTGAGGACTCTTGGGAGTAGGTTTTCTCTCATTAATAAATGAGGAAAATATGCTGAGAGCCAAAGGAGCAGAAATCTGAGATTTATGGGTCCTTTCAAGACCAAACGAAGGAGGAGTCCCCAGACCTGAGAAACCGTTTTCTGTCCTTACAGCATCGAGTATATATATTGTTTGTTGTAACATATTTAAAATGTCTTTAGTTTAAATTTTAACTTCATATAAATTATTGACTGTTTATGGTCCTTTCGAGGAGGGGAGAGTTCGGGGGACTGTTTGGTCTTAAAGTGGTCCAAAGATTTCAGAAGGAACTAATTTTAGCCGGTTACCCTTTTAGGAGCTCTGAAGTACATGTTAGGTTTATACTTGACAAGGCTTTGTAAAACACTTTCAAGATTTATACAGTGCAGCGCATCGGCCCAGCACTGCGGAGCGGTGGTGGCTCTGGTTGGGCTGTGGGGCGCCGCCGTGCGCTGCTGCTGCTGCTGCTGCTGCTGCTTCACCTCGCTGCCCTCGTGCCTCCTGGGGCGCTGTGCCACAGCCGGGGGGCTGCAGGAGACGCGGATGGGGAGAGTGGGGCCCTGCATGGAGCGGGGCCTGGATGGGACTCAAGCCCCCCCCCCCCCCCCGCCGCCCGCGGGGG